TGGGGGAGTAGGTAATTAAGAATCAAAATAAAATGTTTACAAAAGCTCATTAGAGGACAATGGGGGAAAATTGAGAATATGTATATGTATATATATACACACATATATATGCATATATATATACACACACATACATATATATATATAATAACTGTAAATACACATATATACATCTGCCTCTAAATACACTACCCATTTCTTCTCCACACAGGATAAATGGTACTACTGTCTTTCCTGATTTTTTTCCTTTGGTATTCTTTTAGAATTAAGTCATAGACAGACTTGCACACACAGACACAGACAGACACAGACACACGGACACATACACACAGAGTTGTGGGTGACACAGGAAAAACGTCACCATGGAGGCGAGGTGGATGAGGTGGGCAACAGAAGCTAGACAAGCATTGACCAAAGAAGAGTGTGGACGAGGTCAAAACCGAGAACCTTAGTTCCTGTAAGGAGCATTAGTTCCTTTAAAACATCAGTTCCTGCTGACAGTTTCCTTGCAAAACAAGTTCTTTCCTGTTGCAAGGCAACAGAATTTGCCATGTGGGAATTTGGGCTTAGTGTTACATTCTCTGGTTTTTGCAGGCATACTAGTATGAATTGTTAAGAGTAATTTGAATTTTAAATGTTGGCAGTGAATTCCCTCTGAGGGTCAGCATGAGGGTCAAGAAAAACATGTCTGACTAGCACACACTGCAGGCTTCCCTATGCACTGCTGCTAGAAATCCAACCCAGGGTTTCTCAAAGAAATGTTGAGATCACTGGAATGAAATCTGCAACAGAATTTCAATGTGGTATGCCCCTGCATCCCGGTTCCAGCCTGTAGAGTCAAAGACTATGGAGGCACCCAGGAATCTAAATTTTTAACAAGGGGTTTCTTATGTAATCTTGTTTGAGAACCAGAAAATTCACATAATTTAAAAAGAAAGCAAAACAGGTATTTAATCACAATTGAATTCCAATTATGAGAGTATTGTACTTTATTAAAGCCTTTCTTTTACTGGTGGGTATGAATTACATCTAGAGTTTTTCCAATAATAAATACTGCTATGGTTTTTGTGGGATTTTTTTCAAGTCAGGATTGTTGGGTCTAATTTTAGGGTCTAATAGATATTTTACATTTTAGGGACTAGAGGATACAGTAAACTTACCTTTAAAAGGTTACACAAAGTATCATTCTAACCAGCAACATTCATGAATAGCTTCATCCTGGCATGCAAATCTCTGGGCATTAAAAACTGTTTTTCAAGTTCTTGGTGAAGAGCTCTTCACAGGATGATAAGGATAGTCACTGGCAGGAAGGGGAACACTGTCTTTCTCTGATAGTCTTCTTTCTAGGCTCTACTTTCCTCCCAAATTCATTTATCCTGCCACAGCTGTCCCACCAGGCCACTGATGTCTTTTACCATGCTGCTGAGACACTATACGTCACCTTGGGATGATTATCACTGTGCCAATTTTGCTATTTTTGCAATGGTCTATCCTTTCCTTAACTATTTGATGTAGCCCTATGTAAACCAGGGCATCAACAATTTGCTTATATAGTATTTTAGCAAAACAAATTTTATTTATTTAATCTAATTAATTAACTAAATTTTTTGTTTTTTTGTTTTTTTGTTTTTTTTTTTGAGAAATGGTCTCCCTGTAGCCCCAGCTGGCCTGGAACTCACTGTATAGACCAGTCTGGCTTTGAACTCACAAGATCTACCTGCTTCTGAGTGCTGGGACTAAAGGTGTGTGCCACCATGCTGGCCATAAAACAAATTTTAAAAATTGCTTGTTTAGGGACTGGAGACATGGCTCAGTGGTTAATAGCACTGGCCACTCTTGCAGAAGACTTAGATTCCATTCCCAGCACCCACATGGTGGCTAACAACTATCCATAACTCCAGATCCAGAAGAATTTACCAACTTCTTTTTACCTCCATTGCACAACAGGGGTGCACCTACAAGCATCCAGACAATACACTCATACACATAAAATAAAAATAATAAATAAAATATTAAATAAAAAATGCTAATTTATTTAATAATCCTATTTTGAGGGAAAAAATGGAGGCAGAGTCTCTCTATGTATCTGTGGCTGGAATTTGCTATGTAGACTAGAGTGGCCTCAGGCTTACAGCTATCCTTCTCCCTCTGCCTCTTGGGTACTGCAACTACAGGCATGGGTCAAGCTGCTTGGCTATATTAACCATTTTAAATATGTAGGACCACATTAGTTTGTTTTGTTTCTCAGATTGCTTTTAGAAACTCAAATATTTAATAACATGTATTTTCGGTATAATGTCACAAGTTAACCACAGAAAAGTCACTAATGTATATTATTTTACTTCATAAAATAGTAGTAAAGGAGCTATAAAGATTTAAATAGCTTTATTGCAAGTTTAAAACTTTCCAAACTCAAAAATGGGCTTTGTTGGGGGTGGGTGCTTTCTCTCAAGAGCTCTTATTTTAAAACACAAATGGGACTTCAAAATACAAGTAAATAAATGTCAAAGCCTCTTGGCCTCTATGCTACCATTCTATGCATGAAATCCTGCCAAAATGAAATTTTCCATTCAAGAAGGGACTGGCATTTACTAAACTGATTTTTAAAAGGCATTCTTAAAAGTAGTGGAAACTTTGAGCAACTTCTGAGTTCCTGTTCTTGTGGATGGGTCAGCTGCCACTATAGACATTTTCCACCACGTTAACTGCTCTCCAAAGGAAATTCTCCAACCCTTCGTTATCTTCAGCTACTGGGTCTCCCCAGTGTCAAGTGGAGATAGTAAACAGACCCAGGCTAGAAGCTGGTATTTCACGAAGTTTCAAGGCACAAAACCAGCAAGACAGAAAATGTCTCACTATTAAGGTAGAAAAGAGAAGAGAAAGTGGCAGAAAGAAGGGGACGTGACTGTAAGGCCCGTTGCTCTCAAGAAGTGCACATCTAGCTCTCCATTTTAACTGTTTAGTCACATGACAACGCCAGTTTCAATTACAGTGAGGGTCAAAGAATTAACAGATAGGAGTCCTGTTAAAAGAACTGGAAAGAGGAAAGTAGGAGCCGCCTGCCGCCGTACTTGGAGAAATTAGAGGCTTGGGCACGCTGCTTCTGCATGCCGGCCATCCTAAGAGGGGAAGGAAGGACTGAAAGGGGCCTGTGCAGGGATGATGGACTTCGGAAGTGAAAGCTAAAACTGTCAGCTTTACAAGAAAGACACTGGAATAAATCAAAAGTAGAAATGGAAACCATTGAATGTTAGAGGGGAAGATGAAACAGTTTGCACTTTTAAAAAACAGCCACGTGCTGAAGAGGAAACAAAAGCTAACAGTTCTAATTTCTCCAGGGCAAGGTACTGGAATTACCCCTTGTGAATCCGCCTTTAATTTGGAACTTATTTTCTTTCTCTTGTGATTGCTCCTAGACCCAAAGCTCCTTTTCTTCATCTAGCATTTGTTTCACCAACACGACAAAGGGCAGGTAGCAATGTATAGAAAGTTTTGTGCTTTAGAGAACTAGGGCCTTTGCTATGATTTTTCTCCCCCTGCCCCGCCACGCCCCCAACCACGTGACCCAGAGAGGCCAAGATTTTGTGAATGGAGCCCAAAGGTGGCTGAGGGGGCGGATAGAGCTCCGCCCCCTTCTCGAAGGCAGCCAATCCACTCACGGAGCGCTGCGGGGTCAGCAGTAAACAACAGTGGGCTGGGAATCCACGGTTTCTTATTGGCTTTGCGGACAAGCTGGCGGGGCCTCTCCTGAAGCTCCGCCCTCCCTCGGTTGCCCTGGATACCCGACGGGCTCGGGCCGGAGGGGAGGGCTTAGGAAACTGTTGCTTATCCTCTGGGATGCAGGGTGGCGGGGCAGCAGCGTCAGTGTCCCCTGTCCAGGCCACATCCTCACCAAGCATCCCAGAGGCCCCCTATTCCAGCCGGGCGCGCCCGGTGCACACCCTTGCCCGGGAGCTAGTGCAGACTCGATTGCAGGGGCATCGCGGTGCTCTCTGACGAGTTTCGGAGCACGCATAGAGCTGTCTGCTTCTCACAAGTTAACACCCCCGGAAGAAGCCATGAGTTTTTTGTTTCAACACCATCTCGCTCCTCCTGGGTGGGTCTGGAGTGCTGGGCGCGCACACTCCCATTTTCGAGTCTCCACCTTATTCAGTTTGGGGAAAGAAACTTCCAAGTAAAAATTTGAGGATTGCAGTACGTTGCCCTAAAGGGCCAGATAGCTGCAGGAAATGTCTTTCGGTCACCAGCTCTGGTCGCCGCCAGGGCCGCAAGAGACTTTGGAACAGCGTGGAACCCCTGGTTCCCTCCCTGGCCTCCCATCCCCTGCAGGACCGTGGCTTCGCAGGGGACGTTTCCCTGCTCCAAGCCCCACGAGCCCCGGCTCCAGAGATGTGGTCCTTGCTTCCCAATGCCCTAGAGATCGTCCTGTAACCCGAGCCCTGTCCCCGCTGCCCCCTACTCCCAGCGCAGAGGAAGCGAAAGCGTCAAGCACTGTAAGCGACACCCTCCTCCTCTCTGTATACATAACAAAAGCTCCGGAACCGCGCGGGTCCCCAGGATATCCGAGCCTCTCCGTCCTCCCCTACCCCTGGGGCTCCCTGTTCCCTAGGCACGCGAGCGGACAAATCTGATTTTTACACTTTCCTTTCCTGGACTGCTCTGTGCTCCGGGTCCTCCCTCCCTACGCCAGCTGTCCTAAGAAGCAGCGTCTCCCGGATGCTTTGCTCAGTGTTTTTCTGTCCCATGAACGATATGATCATTTTAGTCAAGGGTGGATTTAAAACAGAGAGATCAGATAAACCGTGGTGGTTAGTTAGTATTGAAAAATGAGAAAATAACTTGGGCCAAAAGCTTGTGGGGAGCGGGTTGGCGCGCGGGGGGTGGGGGTGGGGGCTCGGGTCAGTTCCAGAGCTGCGGGTTGGAGGTCTCGGGGGATTGGGACACCCGCTTTAGGCATCTATACCTAAACAACTGGACAGTGCCTTAAAGGACATCAGCCCGACAGTGGACCAAACACGCCGGGAGCGAGAACTGGCGACTCAGTACACAAGGTTTCAGTATCCCCGGGCGCCTTAACAAAAGCAGCCCTCGAGTTAGGAAGAGGATTTCCTCGGTGGCCTTTCCTGGGTGCGGACCCCGCGCCTTCAGCACAGCGGTCGCTAGGGCAGAGGGGCTCAGGAGACCCGCGGGAAGGGGCCGCTAGCCTCCTGATTGACAGACCGAAATCTGATCTTGTGAAAGAGACGTGGAGCCAATGGGAGGCAGCGATCCATCAGTTTGGATTGGAGGCCCCTGGAGGAGAAGTAGAGGAAAAACCACCGAATTGAGCTCTGTCAGTGGCGCTTTCGGCTTCCAAGGGGAAGCGCTGGGCAATAATTAATGTTTTTTTTTTTTTTTATTAAATTTGGAGGGAATTTTTTGCAGCCGTTCCTTAGCGTGGCCTTCAGGTGGGTTTTTCCAACAACTTTTTATGTCTCTCCAGATAATTGCATGGTTGTGTGTTGTAAAAACTATCCTTTTGAAAGAGGTGTCTCCCTCTCTTTAGTCCCGTTAGGTGCAAAGCAAGTCTCGTTGATCGCCATTGCTAGGTTTGCACACGTTTGAGAATCAGAGCTGCCCGGGGTGCACCGACCGCGCCGGGGAACATCGGGAGTGTAAATAAATCATCGCCTCTTGCTACTACCGAAAATATGTAAATTGTGAACTCTCTTGGCTCTCTTTGGATCCAGGTGAAGGAGGCGGTGTAGGGGAGGGTTATTTTTTGTGAATGGGGCTGTCGGAGGGTAATTAGCTATGCAAATTCAAGAGCTTCATTCATGAATTTTTAAAGCCTAAAAGCCATCTTATCTTGTTCCCCTCTAGGTTGATAGAAGTCCAGATCCCGAGGAAATCTCCACCTAAATGCTCAAAATATAAAATACTGAGCTAATATTTGCGAGGAGCAGCAGCATGGATGGATTTTATGACCAGCAAGTGCCTTACGCGGTCACCAATGTGAGTGATCTGTTCGAAAGTTGCTGTTTATAAACTTGACTCGGACGGGGGTGGGGAGAGCGAAGGATGAGAAGGGAGGGGGGCAGGGGGTAGGGACTGCAGACACTTATCTGCTTTGTTGCCACTGTAGGGCGACTCTCCAGCTAGAAGCCCAATCTTCAAAATGAGCTTACCTTTCAGTGATTTGAATAAGGCACAGTTTTGCTTTTAAGACCCTTTTTTCTGGTTAAAGTGCCCAAGATGAGTGGAAGAGGAGGTGGAGGGCAACAGCAGCAGCTGCACTCAAAGTTTGTGGCTGGGTTTGTCTGCCACATTGAAAAGAACGAAGTTGAGACCAATGCTGACACTTTTTGTTTACATGGGCTGTCTTGGGGTCTCTCTCTCTCTCTCTCTCTCTCTCTCTCTCTCTCTCTCTCTCCCTCTCTCTCTCTTCTCTTTTCATTTTTCTATTCATCTTTCTTTGTTGGGGGGTCTATATGAGAGAGTAAAATTCACTATGATTTAATCTAGGGTTAATCCAGTCAAAAAAGACACTAAATGTTCTAGCTTGAGGTTTTGATGTTGAGATTACACGAATGACTATGAGTGACAAGAAGCTAGCTAGTGTGAGGATCTGCACTGGGAAGCAGCCCTCCCCAGTGGAGAGCTCAGCCTGAGCTTCCACTGCCTGTCAGAAAATAAATATTGGAGTTATCCTATGAACTTTTATTTTTCTATTCAGAGAGAGGATCCAGTAGGTTTATGTTATGTATGCATTTTTTTTTAATGAGTGACATTGGAGATTTAGTCTTTCAAAGGATTTTTTTTTTTAATGTGTGACATCTGGGGTTTTTACATTCTTTTAAAGGATTTTGTCTTTCCCTTTGTAGAGTCAGCGTGGGAGAAATTGTAACGAGAAACCAACAAATGTCAGGAAAAGAAAATTCATTAACAGAGATCTGGCTCATGATTCAGAAGGTGAGGTTTGATTCTGAGCTGACTCCCTCTTTACCTATACTCTTTATCCCCCAAAGAAAGGGGAAAACTTCAACTTTATTTTGGAAATTATAAACTGGAATTTCTGAATTTAATATGGAATTTTACTTGAAGTCATTCACCTAAGTGACCGTTTGTCTTGGAGACTATTTTATGGTCCTGTCACAAACTAATGAAAGAAGGAAATAAAAACTGAAGAGTGCCATTATTCTTTTAATCATTTTTTGTTTATTCTTGTCCATGTGGCATATGATTAATCCCCCACACTAAGAAAACAATTTTAAAATTTCTATCATAGTAGGACCAAGTAAACAGCTACTACACTTGCTTTTTACATTTTTCTTTCAACTTTATTACAAATTAAACAATATAAATGATTGATTTCCTAAACACACTGAAGTCATATACTATTATCAAAATTTTAGTGAGTGAGTTTGATGATTGTGAAGTCATAACATCTTGTTAATAGGCCTTAAAGTGTTTAATGAATCATACTTAGGGCTTAATTAATAATTATTATATTATTTTAGAAATTAAGTTGCAGAATCTTCTTAGGAGCTGATGGTAGGAGGCCAGTATATCATGAAATATTTCAGCCCTGTGGGGGCATTCATAATGAATTCAAGAAACTTCGATTTAATTAGCAAAGTTCACTTTGGATTTAAATTATAATACTGTATTCTAAAACTTCTTCAAATCTTCATATTTACCAGCCACCTTCCTTTCTCCCCAAGCTAACAGAATACAGTTTTGGATTAGGTAAACTAAGCCTGGGACTATGTATGTTTAACTTTTATGAAGCTACTCATGTAGGATTTTTCTTTAATAACTTGTATTTAAAGTTTCCCTGTTTAGTTTGAGGTAGTAAACTCTGAAATGGAGTACTTTGAGAGTTAACCTAAGTACTGTGGGATTCTTGTGTCTAAAATCAAGAAGATAGAAAAAAAGTGTTCTCCTGCCTGTTAGGTTCTCCCAATCTGTCCCCTGCTACTATTTTAGCAAGATTGCAATGTATTTAGGAAAGGGTTCTGTGTCTGACCCACCTTCACTTCAGCCTTTTGGAGAATTTTAGTACATGTGTGTTTCTTGTTATCCCTGAGCTTGCTTCTTAAATGTTTATTAAAGAGACAAAAGAGAAGAAGGAAAATAATTGAATTTTTTTTAGTCAACTAAAGAATTTCTTGAAGTGTTGCTTTAAAAGGTACCCTAAGAAAGCAGGTTGTTGAGACACTTTATCTTTGAATTCTATTTTCACTTGACTCACTCCAAATTAAAATCCTATTCATTGCCCGTATCATGACAAACATTTTCATTCACAGCAGCCTGAAGATTGAAAAATCTTATGTTTGTGTCTTTGACTTGCTTTTTAGAACTCTTTCAAGATCTAAGTCAGTTACAAGAAACATGGCTTGCAGAAGGTAAGGCAAAAAATTGCTCTAAAGGGGGAAAAGCAACTCTAGAAAGGGGGGTGGTAGTGTCCTGAACTTTCTGTGTTAATGTTCAGCCCAATTAATTGAGCTCTAAAAGAGCCACCTCATGTGTCATGCATACATTAGAGCCTCTGATGAGTTTGTCTTTGGGGACTCTGGGGCTGCACTACCCAGTGTCATCACAAATTACCAGGAGAAATTGCTTCCAGCTCACAATCACATCTGCTTTTGGCAAGAACTAATGCACCAAGACTTCAAGTTCTAAGCCTCTGTTCAGATTTTAATTGCAATTGATCAGGTTTATATTATTGTACCTCGAGAGACCTCCTAGAGCCAGAACCGGCTGGCTGGCTTGCTGTTTCCTTTAGAGCAGCGCATATCATTATTTGGTGTTCTGGTGGAGGACTTTTCTCATGGCAGAAATTAGTTTCTCTGGGTTCATCAGGACGGGATGCTTCAAGATTTAAGTGCTAGTGTCTTCTTTCCACCTTGTTCACAACACAGAACATTAGGTGTGTATTTAATACTTAGGAAATCTATGGTTTTAAAATAAGTCTTTTGGGGAATTTGAAGATTTTATGAATGTTTTTGTGTGTTACTATGCATGTGATATTTGTTGAAATTTGACTTTTGCTGTTTTGTGACTTTTATTAGGATTGACTATAGAGACATTTTAAGTGTTTTTGGATTTTTTTGACAAAATTTCATGCTGCGATCTATCTTTTTCTGTGTGCAACTTTGTTTATAAGATCAATGAGATTTTACTTTAGTATCACATCTCAGATATGCCTAGGGGGGAAGGATTTGTGTTAACATCTACAATTTGAAATTTTCCTTTTGAAATTGGCATATGATATGTGAAATTTTAATTTTTATGATGTGTTTTTATGGAAAATAAGAGTAGGTCAATGATATTTAAGCATTTAGTATGATTGTGTTATTTTCATCTTCACTTTCTGTGGGGAATCTGTAATTTTGACACTGATTTTTCAAGATGGTTAAAAGTAGAGAGAGGCTTTCAGAATAGAATCCAAGCTCTACAGGGCTACTTTGAGGAAAACTGCTGTTTTATCCGGAGGTCTTGTAAGCAGTTCATCAAGTTGCTGTTAACGTGTAAATAAGTTTCTTTGTTTTGCTGATATTCTAGTTCTTCAAAAAGCTTTGCAATTTTTATGAATCATCTACGTTAAATAGCTCTTAATTATCCTTTGAAAGGCTGATTGTATTTATGTTAATGAATGGTAAGTATTAGAGATAGTTCTGTTTATATTTAAAGATCATTTTTGCTTGCCTCTAAATGAAACTTAAATGTAATAGGTTACTTAGTATTGCAACATAAGCCATCTATTTAAACAATTTTTCAGGGGAAATTTGCAGAGGCTCTTGGATTAGCTTATATCAGCTTTGTCAAGTTGAAGGTTGTGAGGAATTTTGTTTATGGGAGAATTTATGTATCTAAAATAAGTTAAAATACTTACCTTAATTGTTGTTGTAGGTTTGTTGGTTCTAAAGATGTTTAAATATGTTTGATTCCAAGTCAGTACACTGGCTGGCAGGTTTTGAATATGCACAGCAACTCTGTTTCTAGAATTCTAAAATGTGAAATCCGGGACAGACTTTGACCATTTTATAATCAGTTTCAGTACATTTTCTTTCTTGTTTTTTCACTTCTCACTTGCTTTGTGTCTTATAGCTCAGATAAGAATTTGAAATGGTTTATCCGAGTTTATCTTTTGAAATAGTATGGAATATTCTTACCTACGATTATTAACATACCCGAAAATCATATCTGAAGGCTAAGTTTTACATAAAATAAACTTCTAATGTATTTGGGGGAAATAGCTTCTAATGTATTTGGGGGAACGTAGCCTTTTACTTAGAATAGGATTCATAAGCTTAATTAAATTCAGGAATTAATTTTGAGTGCTTTATTGAATACCCAGGTGTGCTACTATTTACAAACTTCATTTTAGAATCATTTAAACATCTCCAAAATAGTTTACATTAATTTATCCGTCATGATGCAAGCAAAAACTTATTAATGTCATAGAAAACCTAATAGAAGTTTTCAAACATGTTAATACACTACACCTTCATTTTTGTTCTTAGCAAATTAAGAATAATTATTATTTTGCACAGATATTTTGCCTGACTTATCTGATGTCTTGAGCAATTTTAGCTAAGAAGAAAATTTCCAAATTGCTCTACTTAATGTGTTGCTGGTTTTGTCCATTTGTGTCCTTCTGGACAGTCAGAAACTAAACGTTGTTAAACTGACAAACTGTTTTTACTGTTTACATATTCTTCTTCATAATGCTCCCAAGCCAAGAAAATGATCATGGAATTTTAAGACATCTTGACCTTTTGAAGAGAGATCATTCACAATTAATCAAGTTTCTTCCATGAATTAGAATCTCTCTGGGAAGCTAAACAGGTCTAAATATTTGACTAGATTTACGAATCATGTTAGTTACAATGTGTCATATTATAATCATGTTTTAAAAAATGTATCAAAGTCCCTAAATACTTGAGAAATGGTACATCTTAAAATTTTAGTTTGTTTCTCCTGTAAAAATTTTTATAAATAATAACATGTATAGCATACAGATCAGCCATGAGTAAATTATTATGGATTATGAAATAAGTCTTATCTCTAAAGAGCAGTTGGAATAGATACGGGAGGACTACTGGAGGTGGGGATAGAGTCAGTGCTTTCAATCCAGTAAAGCCCTCTTTAAAAATATAATTGGCATTCTTCCCTGAAAATTTATCTCCCTACAGAGATCTAAAACATGTTTATAGGATGTAACCTCACATTAGCACCACTTTCCAACTACTAATGCTGCAATTTAAAGGAATGTAGCAAATATACTACAACTTCAAATAATCAGTTTCTGAAGATTGAAGAACTAACATTTTCAATGACCACAGTAGCAATTCAAAGTAATACATATTATGCTTATTTTAAATATTACCGTAGCTATATTATATTGAAACTTCACTCTGTATAATTTTTATTGATCTGTTGTCTTTTGAATTAGATTGCTCCTGACATTCAGTAGAATTATTTGATCCCTTAAAATGATGAGTTCAAATACCATTCCTATCAACATCATAGAAACTTTTGCTCTTAACAGGTTTTGAGTAGTTTAGTAAGTGGTATCCAAAAACCTCTTGTGTGGGAGAGAAGAGAATGTAAGAAACTGTGTCAAGAAAGGATTGCATTCTTCTAAACTTACCTATCAGAGTTTGCCTACTGATACAACTTATTTCTCATGTAAAACATGATTTCTTTTGTCTTATTTTGTGATGGGTCTGGGTGTCTTGAAATTCTCTTTCATGAATAAGCTTGAGGAAAAAGGCTTAGGTGATGATTCATGACCATCAGGGTAACATTATTCAGAAGTTTCATGATGGTGCCACAAAAATGCCTTCGAAGTTTTGCCTCCAAGTACAACCTTTCTTCACCAAACTTTATTATCACCTCATAGGAGGATTTTTAACTTTGGTTTTATGCATCCCTCAAATAATGGTCAGATTGCCTAAGAGGTAATGATGTTGTTCTTCCTCAGTTTGCTTCAAAGAATGATACCAAATTTATACTCCAAATCATTTTTTATGATGTTTCTTGAATAATGTGAGCTATTGTTCACAACCTGAGGCATCAGCTGTACACAGAACTTGTGAGGCATTCATTTTTGTTGTTCAAAAATTTTATATTTTAAAAAAGGGAACTCAACATTAATTTTGTTTGTGTAGTTTTGGTTTTTTGCCTGTTTGGTGCAGTTTTAGAAGTGACATTATGTGTTTTGCATGAAAGAGGAATTGAGAATTCAGCATTAAAGAAGTCCATACAATTTTTGAAAATTGAGTCAATTGATTCATTTTGTGTGTGTGTGTGTGTGTGTGTGTGTGTGTCAGGGTGCTAGCACTTACCGTCCCTCTTTGTATTGAATCAAGAGGCACTGTAGACCATAAAAGACTTCATATTTAGTCTTAATTTAAGAGTAGCAGATACAACAAATATATTTTATTTAAAACATTTATTGGAGGTGTATAAATGTTTTTCATTTATAATGTATTTAAAAAAGAAGATATTTTAGTGTAGTGTAGTTTTTCTAGAAGGTGTTGGTAAATATTAGTGAAATACTGAACTTTTCTAGTTGAGTTCCAGAAGGCCTGTACTATCCTGCATTTCATAGAGTACCTTTATTCCTTTGACTTGTGTACAATCTTGTAATTAATAATAATAATAGTAATGATAGCATCAGGCCACTGTAGTATTAGAGAAAAAAAAATCTGCCTACAAACAGCAGGTAGTTGGCTCTGAGCTTCCCTTTTAAGTTTTCAAATAACTGCAGGTCAGTATAGTAAGGAATTGAAGCCAATTTGAGATCTTCCTGTTTTCTTGCTTTTAGAGCATATGTAAGGAGTGTGTCAAGTGTCAAAGGCGGTTCTGTCTAGGGAAGTTCCCCGCTTCTGCTACAATATGTTTATATTTCTGCACTAATTAATGCTTTTACATGGGTACAGTCATTTTCATGTTAAAACCGGATGTAGTATAAAACTAGGCTTAGTGTACTCCTGGTTATTTGTTCCATGCCCTGAAGCCTCATTTTAGGATTAAAAGGAAAACCATTGTGCAAGTGTTGATTTTCTTGTTTTACTTTTATTTAAAATAAAACTTAAATTTCATTAGAGAAATTTGTTTTGAGCTTTTTGATTCAAAGCTACAAATCTCAGCAATAATCCATTATATTTTAAAACCTGAATGATAGAGAAGGAGAAAAGGATGTTTTAAATTTTTTATTATTATTAGTGTTTTGGTGTTGGGGAATCAAACTTAGGGTTCTCACGTTCTATGAAAGTGCTCAACCATTTAGGTGAACCTAGTCTTTTAATGGCCTTCCTTCCTTCCTTCCTTCCTTCCTTCCTTCCTTCCTTCCTTCCTTCCTTCCTTCCTTCCCTCCCAGCCTTCCTCCTTCCTTCCCTGCCTTTGTCCCTTTCTCCTTCGCTCTTTTCCCCTCTCTTTCCCTCCTCCTCTCTTTTCCTCTCTCTTTTCCTCCTTTGCTTCCTTTCTTTCCTTCTTTCCATTTTGTCTTATTTTCTACTTTCTTTAGTTTTGTAAATTCAGGCTTCTGGAGCAAATTACCCTGTAAAATATGATGGATTGAATATGTCTCTCTCTGTCTCTCTCTGTCTCTCTCTCTCTCTCTCTCTCTCTCTCTTCCCTATCTATCTATATGCCATTTATTTTAGTTTGTTTCTTAATTAGATCTGAGCTCTATTTGAGACTGAGCAATGAAATTGGTGTTTTTATCCTGCAAGCTCCAGCTCACTTGCATTAACTCTCTGGAAGGGTATGACATGAAAGGATTGCGGTTGGGCCACATGGTTCCTGCTGGACTGTGTTTTTGTGAATGGAGGCAGAACTCCAGTTCTCCTTGCTTGTCTTGAGGAATTGCTGAGGAGATCAGCTGTCTCATTCACCGGCAGAAAGAATGACTCATACATCTTCCGCCTTGTTTGGCTCCAGGTCATTGTTACAGTGGATGGAACTGGTTTTAATTAAATATTAACCCCTTTTATACTTGACATTTGTTTCATTTGTGGTTTTTCCTCTTTTTCTTTCTTGACTTTGAGAAAATCCAACTGGCAGCTGGTTTGTAAGAATAACTGCTTTTATTTATTTTTTTAAAATATAGAATAAATACCATTTTTGAGTAATGAATACTGTTTTATTTAAATGTTAAAAATAGGTATAACGTAAAAGCAAGCTCTATTGAACTTGCCCCTCTGAACGGCAGTGTTAGTTAAGAAAAGATGTTGAAGTTAATAAATGAGAGTTGATGATTCTGTGACGTTTAGGTCTTGATTAATATTTTTATGAATTTTTTCCCATAGTATTGCTATGTAGTAAATAGACAACAAACAAGGTAAAGCAGATAGCTAAAAGTGCAGACACCCTTTTAGAACTCAGATCCTGAGACTTGATGGCAACTCATCTATTAATGTGCACTGAACTGATAGATTTGCTCCAGCCATTACCAATAAAATCTGCATTCTTAATCTTCCTGAAAGTCTTTTATTGGTCTTTTGGTATATATTTTTTCTTCTCCATTCTTCCTCTTCTTCCTCTTTAAGTACATAGTGTAGAGAAACATTTCCATTCCCCAAACATGCTCATTCCAAACACAGTATAGAATAAGTAGTAATATAATGAAAAAAAAAATTTTTTTTTAGATTGGCCTGAGTTGTTAATTTTCAACTTTGGAGTTGGTATGGCTTACTACAAATTTTCAGGCAACTGTAGTTTGCTCCTCCATAGAATTCTCATGAATAAGAAGAATTTTTTGAAAAGAGGAAATGCATGATACAAGTGTGGCAATACTGTGTCATATTTTCCTTGCCCAGATCCAACTTATGTTTTCAGTTAAATGCTTTCCTTTTACTCCAGTTTGAAATTAGAGGTAGACTTAAGTCTTTGTCTATTTAAGTAACTTGCTGCTTCATTTGGTCTATTCAGTGTCTTAAGATTAGCTTCTGTGAAAATGTGAGTCATATGTTTTTTGTTAAAATTCTGTAATATGTTCAAGCGTAAGTGTGAAGTATTTATTCAGTATGGTAAAAAGTTAGAACAGAAATAGCAGTCTTTATCCTTATTCTTTCTACAAATTGTTAGGGTGCAGCTATTTTCTCTATATCTGTGAGGTGTAACTTCTAGATTCATTTGCCCCTACAGTGTTCCCCTCTTCCCCACACATATGCCAACACCCAGTCAGTATACTGCACACTCACCAGGGGCATTCTTACTGCTGGGAACTGCAACTGTCTTATGATACTAAGGAAATAAAAATCTAGCCCTTAGGATCTTCATACCAGCATATTCAGTCACAGAAACTCACTACCTATTTTTAACCATTCCTGTAAATGAGCATTACATTTTTATTAGATTCTTGTAAATGGTGGGGTGAGTTTTTTTTTTTTTTTTTTGCTTTGCTTTGTTTTGTTTTGGAGACAGGAGCAAATTTGTTCAAGGCTAGCCTTGAACTATTGATCCTCCTGCCTCTACTTCCCTAGTGCTAGAATTACAGACTGCCACTTTGGAATAAACTTTGACTCTTTCAAAGCACCTTTTGAACCACAATAGTTATATCTGCTTAGATCTTAATTTAGGGGGAAAACTAAAACATGGCTATAATAAAAAATTCAGAATTTAATTATTTGCTTGCTATTATTAAATATGCATTAAAGACACTGGTAATTATTTTTGATGTAAAGACATTTTAAAGCACATTTCCTCATGTGTAATTTATCAATCTGAAAAGACAGTCAAGCCTACTACAATGTCAAAAATGCAGTATCAATAGCTAAGAGAATGCTAATGTATATATTTTTTTCTGCCTCCAGTAGAATTTGTTAGTAGTAAAAATATAAAAACACTAAACTTCCCATTGTAATGATTGTGATATATTTTTTTGGTTTGTGTGACTTTAAAGAAAAGGGTTTCTGGTAGAGTAGTGAGAAAGAAGGGACCATCTGAACAGCTGACATCGTGTGTAAAACAAAACCCTTATATTATTAAACTGGGGTTTAAATGGAGTCTAAAGAGTTAAGTAACTTACTCAGAGTTACACAGCTAGCAAGTCAGAAATCTGTAAAAAAATCTGTTTGTCTAACTGGAAAGGTGTTTCATGTAACATAAGATATTTATTAGTGGAGTATGAAGAAGAAAGTTCCTCCGACACAGGCCTGTCAGGAGGTACCTGTCATGACTGAAGATCATTGATTTTTAAATTTTAATTCGACGATAGGGAGTGGTGGGTCTTTAATAAAGTTAAGTATTGGCATGCAGAGAAAGTTGTTAGAGAACAACTGAATGTCCAACTGCAAATATTTTGATAGCTGGCAAGACTATCCTGGGATAGTTATGTTCTTAACTATTGTAACACAAGTTTTATTCTCTCAGATATTGCTGTTTACAAAGAATAACAAAGATAAACTAAGAAAAACAAAAACTTCTATTGATGCTGTATTCCTTTTTTTATATAAACTTACTTCCTAAAAAATTCCTTTTGGTATGGATTTTTTTCTTTACTCATTCAATTATTAGCCTGAAACATTTCAACAGGCTGTTTATTACTGTAGTTGTTGTTTGTAGTTTGAGACAGGCTCTCACTCTCTAGCCTAGGCTGGATTACAGCTCACTATGTGCTTCATGCTGGCCTCAAGTATTGATGAGCCTTATGCTTCAGCCTTCCAGATGCTGTTATTACAGGCTTGAGCCACCATTCCCAGAGAAGACTATTTATTTTAATCACCATTCCCCACACAGAATAAGTTCATTAACAGAATTGATTGACATCTATTTTAATATGACTTTATTGGATAAAAAGCTACAGTAGTTACAATATTAGTAAAGTAATACTAGCTAATGAGATCATAGCAAAAGTTAATTAGGATAATAGTTCATTGTATGTTTACCAAGTTAAAAGTAACCTAAATTCTGTCTTATGAAGTTTGCTTATGCAAAAGTATGAATATTTATGAACGTTTGAAAACTCAGCAACATTTTATCTGTTTGGAATAGATTATTTCTGTGTCTACGTCAAATATACTAAAAACATTCTTGGGAAAACAATGAACTTGTGTTTGATTATTGCCTAATGCATTAAGTCCTTGCAATTCAATATTTTTCCTTTACTAAAAATAGGGAAGTCATTTGACATTAAGAGGATGAAATGGTGATATTCTTTTTTTCAGTGCTGAATAGTAGCCAGAAAAATATTTTGTGTATAAAGATGGCATTTGTCTTCTTGTTTATTTTTATTATTATGAAGATGATTGTTGCAATATATTACTTTGTTACATGTTGCCCAAATCAATGACAGTTCTTTTATTTTTAACACTTTTAGCATACTTTGATCAACTTTAGGGAAAATGTTTTTAATTATGGTAGTCTAGTTTACAAGAGACAGAATGCACCAAAAGGCGCCATTTCTAAAAAGGTGGGGGGATGTGTGTGATCGCTCTGCATCACTTGTTCATCGAGATGGGCTTCGTAAATACTGTCACTGACTGTGAGTGAGCCGAAGTGCCTTTAGCTCATCTTTTGTAAAATGAACCCCTGCAGGAAACAGAAAGTCTGTACCTTCTTTTATTTTGCATCTCTTTTATTTCCTCCTGGCAGATGAATTCGGAGGGGGTACACCTACCACCATGACATTTCTGACACATTTTTCCAGTGACATCAATGATCCTTTTAGTTTCTTTCCCAAGCACTTCTGTTAGGACCATTTTAAATAGGAGCTTATTGGCCAATAATTGTAGGTCTGAGCTCCACCTAAAAAGACCTTGCTTGACACATCTAACTTGACATTCCGAATTCTTTGGCATTTCCTCTCATTTTTTATTAATTGTTTTCTTCTTCTTCAGCTCAGGTACCGGACAATGATGAGCAGTTTGTGCCAGACTATCAGGCCGAAAGTTGTAAGTACAGCATAACTTACCTCTTGTGCTTTCCTCTGTGTGTCTTGTTTCTTTCATTTTTACCCCCTCTTTGGTTGCTTTCTACTTCTAGTGTCCTTCCTTGCCAGTGTTGTTTTTGGCTTATAGCCATGAGGTGCTTTTATTCGTCAGGTTGTGACATCAGGAGAATTCCCTGCAGGATCTGAACAAAACTTCCAGTGGTGGGCAAGGAAAGCTGAACTGTTGAAATGCTTGGCTCTGCTCTCCATATTTAGTGCATTTCCTTGGGGAGGAAACAAGGTGTGAGCCCTGAGTGTGCAAGTAGTGTTTACTTCCATTTTGCCAATGCATTCACAAGGAAAAGCCTGGATGCTGATGGGAGGCAGAGTTAAACCTCATGTGGGATTAGTTATCAAGTAACTTGTAAAAGACACTGGACCAAACCGTCCTTGCTTGTATTGTTTTTACATTTGAGAACCATCACCTGTTCTGATTTAAGGTTTAGCCTGAAGTTTTCAGCTTCCCAACTGCAGTATCACAAGTGGAAGTTGCCGTTGGCTTCTTTCTGCGTCCCCTCTGTATTCCTTTAGCTGAGGCTGGCTCTAGGGCCTGACTGTCAGAGAATGCGGGAAGAATGATTAATGGATGCTTGCCCTCCCTTAATTGCAGAGTGAGCATTTTGCCTGCACAAACATAGTTGCCCTAGGGTTTACTGCTGATATTTATACTTCACCATTCTAGCGACTGACTGAAGGTACTGAACCATGAAGAAAATCCTAAGGAAAGGCATAATCACTCCTTATCCCTGGGGGACATGTTCCGACATAGCCTGTGGATGCATGATTCTGTGATGGTTTTGAATCATGGACCCTGAAGGTTCTGTTCTCTTACTGTACATACATATCCATGATAAAGTTTAATTTATTAGTTAGGCACAGGAAAAGATTGACAGTGATGATAATAAAATAGAACAATTATAACAATGTTATATCATAAAGGTTATTTAAAAATTATGAATTATTTCTAGAGTTTTCCTTTAAATATTTCTAGATTGTGGTTGACAGCAGATAACTAAAACTGTAGAAAGTGAAACTACCCATAAGTGGGATCAACTGTTCATGCCATGTTATGAAACTGGCCTCATATATTTTTGCACTTTCGAGGCCATTTAAAGCTTTAACCTGCCTTTTTTTTTCCAGACTGTTGATAGAATCAGATGAAACTGTGTCAACAGTTCTAAGAGATGCTTAATCCCTTACACCTTATCAAACGTACATTGTAGACCTTAATCTCACAAATACTTAATTACTTCAAGTAATGTGTTTGCTGGAAATGTTTTCAGTGTCTGTCATCTTAAACTTCTAGGAGTAGAGGGTAGTGAAAGGTTTCTTTTAGATTTTCTCTCACAATACAGCTAATTAAAAGATATCGTGGTAAAAATAAAATATGCACAATACAAATTTGATGCTTTTTATTCTCTTAAGCATAGAGTTCAATAGTATGAAATACATTCTCGTTGTATTATGATCAAAACAGTCCAGAATTTTCCATCAGTCCAGAAACCCTGTGTTCATAAAATAATAACTCCCCATTCCTCGCCAAACCCCTACTAACAATCATCACTATGTCAGTGTTATTTTTGATCAGAGAAGAGAATTCGGTGTGCTGTTCAGTGTCTGAGTACAAGTATTTGACATTAGTCCCCAAGAAACATATTCCTTGGTGATTTAGACCTTACAAACTGGAGGCCCTTAAAAACATCCAGAAGGACAAAGACTGAGGACGACAGCTAGACAAGGCCTGTACTTATTGATTACAGTGTGGGAAGGGAATGGTCATATTTCCAACATTTCCTTCCCTGGGGAAACTTGAATTCTTTTTCCTAAGGACTAAACCTGTCATCCAAGTGAATGAACGGCATCTCATTGAGTCATTTCACATGTGAAGAAACTAGTAACAATTCCAATACGATGCTAGATGTCAGGGTGAAACGAACTACCTGCAGGCAACATTTTTCTCCTTTTCTTGTTTGACCTCTCTATCAGTTTGAGTGTTCCATTCCTTCAAACTCTTGGTCAAAGCAATGTGACTCATTTACCTTCCTCTTTTTCCTCCTCCTATCATCTGCTTCCCTACTCACTATCCTCCCATCAAGCAGATGAAATTTGAGTGGTGGGACCAAAGAAATGAAGTTTTAATTTCACTTAAATTTGATTACTTTAAATTGAGACTCAAGTGGCTGCTGTTTACTGTTCTCGTCAACATAGTTCAGAGCAGCTCTGTCACACACAATGACTGTCACTTCCAGCCTAGGTCTTGCCCTGCTGCTCAACCTCCTCATCTGCCCCCCACTTCTGGACATTGTACTCTCTGCCATGTATTGGTGTTAAACACCATGTAAACACCAGCCCCAGCCTTCAACAGGAAGCTCACCCTCAGCAAGACCAATGTCGAAAACCTTATTTTTCCAGATTTACAGTTCTTTTATCTATCTATCATCTATCTATCTATCTATCTATCTATCTATCTATCTATCTATCTATCATCATCATCATCATCTATCTATTTATATTTTTATTTTTTGAGACAGAGTCTTGTAGATTCCAGGCTGACCTTAAGCTCATTATGCAGTCATGGATGACTTTGAATTTCTGATTTTTCCTCTGCCTCCCAAATGCTAGGATTGCAGACCTCTGCTGCCTCACCTGGCTGTCACCAAATGCTTTTCTTTGAGTCTGTTGTTTTCTTTCTAAGTTACTAACATTCCAATCCATGCTGAAAATCTGCTTATGCTTCTTCTGTTCCTTCAGTTCACACAAACCTCCGTTTAGGCTGTGGAGTCTACCTTTCCCAAACACCTCAGTTTTTCATTAATTTTGTTCCATCCCTGTCCCACTGCGTCAGCTCACACCTTCATGTTGCATCAGTTGAGCATCAGAATCAGCTTTGTGGTTGCTTTTCTTGCCCGTGCTTTCCTCTCCTTCCAGACTGCCTTTTGCAACATCCTGACATAGTTATCTGGCCTTGTTAATTTTCTCCTTATATATCCAGCAGGACAAAGTCTTCCTGCTTGGGTTCTACAGAAAATTGTTCTGTAACTCAGGCTTTGATTGTCTTTCAACTCAAGCTTTTAACTCTTGCTCCTTTAGTACGCTGGCCTGGAACTCACTATATAGACCAGATTGGCCTGAACTCAAAAACTCACAGTGATCCACCTGCTTCTGTCTCCCTAGTGCTGGGATTAAAGGCATGAGCCACCATGCCCGGCTTCACTCACTGTTTTCAAACCTCATTTTGTTTTAAAAGATTTTACTTCTGTGAGCTTTTGCTTGTCTTATCCTTGGCTTAGACTTCACCTTATTCACATCTTTCTTGGCCGTTTTTGCCAGCATACATTACAGTTAGTTAGAATCTACAGCACTTGTGTCTTGTATGTATTGTGCTTGAGTATTTTAGATACATGTCAGTGTTTGATAAGATTGTGAGCTTCTTAAGGATTAGAGGCATGTAATGTTCTGCATGCCCGGCATGTCACAGATGCGTGATAAGTAAAATGGTTATCCTATCCTTTTAATTTTAATTTAATTAATGAACATTGACAGGATAACAAGGCCTTGGAACTTGTAAATGAAACATCTTTAGAAAAGAAACCTATCAACAAAGGCTAAACAAAAATCTAAATAGTCTAGTAAAACTAAAGGTGCGGCATAATGCATTCCAAAGATTCAACGACATAAAACACTTGTGTAGCTGATGCTGTTTATCTGGCACCAAAGAGGGACTAAGAGAAGAGTCTGACAAGAGGAGAGAACATGAGTTTAGAGACAAGGAAGGATTTCTGCATGGCCAGGGTCCTTAGATGTGGAATGGAGCGGTCATAGGGTTATAGTGCCCTTACAGATGCTTGACTCTTGTCTGTCTGGGGACATTTAGTGAGCTGGAAGTTTGCTGGTTAGCTTTAGATGTCAACTTGACAAACCTGGGTAGAGGGAGCCTCAACTGGGGAATTGCCTCCATTGGACTGGTTTGTGGTCATATCTGTGGGAGTTTTCTTGATTGTTGAGTCATGTGGGAGGGTCCAGCCCACGGTGGGTGGTGCCACCCCTGGGCAGGTTGTTCCGTTTGGTATTAGAAAGTAGGTTGAGCGCAGGTCAGGGGAGCAAGCCAGTAATTATGCATCTTTCCTCCATGGCCTGTGCTCCAGCTCCTGCCTCCAGGTTCCTGCCCTGAGTTCTTACCTTGAGCTCCCTGATGAACTGTGACCGGGAGATGTAAGACAAATAAACCCTTTCCTCCCCAAGTTGATATTGATCAGGGTGTTTTATCACAGCAATGAGAGACTAGAACAAGCAAGATCCTATTTCTAGGAAAAGAAAGAAACGCCTCCACCTCCATGTGGCCTGTCTATGATTTCTACATTTATAAACTGTACAGGACTACTTTTTCAAGTGAACAGAACTGTATTTCTTTACATATCCCCCTGAAATAAGAGGTTTCTTCTTTGTTTTCAAATCTTCAGTCCTTTGGTAAAACAAGATTATCAAAACAAACAAAATTTTATCCAACACTTAATCATAGTATCATACCTTTATCAGACTGACGTGTCTAGATACATATACATGATTAGAGAATAAGGTATTCAAAAATTGTGGAAACAAGTAAAATTATAACACTTGAGAACTTTCTAAAAATTTCCTGAGTACTCCTTATATTTATTGATGAAATATCTGAATTAGGAATCTGGAACTCAATGTTAACTATTGCTGGATAGCTTTTGAAAGATGATACATTTTGAAGCATTTTTGCTTTTGAAAGACAATACATTTTGAAGCAAACAGAGACATTAAAAACAAATAAAGCACCATTTGTGGTGGTAGCCATCAGTAGGGTATCCTAACAAAGTGTAGGCAGGAGGATCATGGGTTTGAGGCTAGCCAGTGCTATACTTTACTCCTTTAAAAACAAACAAATAAAAACAAATAACTTTCTACTAATTCATGCCAGGAAACCAATGGTTTGTA